TTTTTTTTTTAATGATTTGATCAGAAAATTAGTAGACTCAAATCTAGGTGAACCTAATCTTTTCTGGTAATTAAATCTGTAGTAAGTATAAAGATGATGTAAATGAAAAACTTACACATTCGTCAGCCAAAAGAAAATGGAGAGACTCTTCTCCGTTGCGAGCAATGGTATTCTATTTCCTGTGAACCTTGACACGCATTTTCCAATTTGATTTCCATGGATAAAGATCAATGATTTTGTCATAATAAGACATTGTTTGATTTACTGGAAAACTATTGTTTTAAAACTGAAGGGTTTGTTTGTTATAGAACTATTGGGTTCATGTTCAATATATAGTGGGTTAAACTTTTAGGTTAGCGTGATAGACTGATTGAAAGAGCGGTTTTTAATCATGTTATTAATGAAATTTAACTCTAAATTTTCTTATTATTGACAGGTTTAAACGGACATTTTGGTAAAAATAAGCATGAGAAAAGACAACACACTGCCGCGATTTTGGTAAGTTTACCAAATCTTTTAATTCAGAAACTTTTCAGGGAAACAGTAAAAGAAATTATGATTTGACTACAAAATTAAAAATATTTTTTCAGATATTGGTTCATTTTCGCGGCAATCCTTTCGATTTGTGAGCGGTTGAAAATACCAAGGTGAGGACGAAAAGGAGATGGGCTACATCCTATATACCTATTGGACTCGAGGTTGAACATTAGTTTATAACAATGGAGCCCAACAATTTTTAAAGTATGAAACGTTTAACCATCTATTTTAGTTTTTAAAATCTTGATATGGGTTTGATTAAAATTTAGTATATTGGCGAGAATAAAATTTTAAAATAAATAAGAAGATAAAAATTATCAGTAAACGATATAAGAGAAAGATAAAATGGTTGGGGGATAATAAACGAAAATAAGCCACTAAAAGAGCTGTTGTGTTTTATGGTCAATCCACGCAATAACAAAAAACACTGAATGAGTAAACTAAAAAAATAGAAAATGTTTTAAGAAAGTAAAAACCAAAACCACATAACTAACTCAGCAATTCGACATTAGCCACTTTGCTTTCATTCCCACACTTCTCGAGTTTGACCTGAACTTTGCACTGTTTCTTACTTGCTGAATGTTGATCTTCGAAAACTGCAATTATAGGTTATCTTTTTCTCTTTGAAGTAAAAGTAACTTGGTTTGGATTTTCATAGTCGTTAACATACTCAGTGTTGGTAAGAGTCAACAAAACCTAGAAAAAAAACAATACAATATTTTTAAGGAAGAACTTATTACATAAATAAATAAGTAAAATATTCGTATAATAATATACCTCATCACTGGAAACCAATTTTGATATATTAACTGGCCTTTCTGAATCATCAAAAGTTAAATCTTCAACCATACACTTATTACTCAATGTCTTGAAAACTTTAAAAATATCGTGACCACCACCGAGATTTTCTTTATCAACAGAAAGAACAAATTGAAATGTTTTTTCAACTAAGTTCTTCAACGTTTCTGGGAAATCTTCAGGATCTTTCGATCTACGCATTTTAAATATAGCTGAAATCAGTATATCATATGTCATGCGAATTTACTATAGTAAATGATAAATTACATTAAAAATTACATACCTCATCGAATGATTCGTTGAGCAAGTCTGATGCTTGGCATTTGACAATCTCACTTGCCGATGTGTCGAATAACAATATAGTAATCTCACTAGTTGTATCCATAACCTTCAGATGCAGCTTCAATCTGACATATAACAATGAAGATATTGTGAATATTATAATATGTGATGGAAATTTTAAAAATAAAATGATAATTCAATTACTTCGGCACGACGTTGGTGATAGTCTTATTGCATTCATTACAATGCCATCTAGGTTACCCTCCCAAAACGAAAACTTCATTGGTTCCTGCCACTATCTTCCTAACCTTCTTGTGATTTTTGATCTTGCACCCAAAATAATATCATCTCCAGTCAGTGTCAATGGCATACACTGTGCAGATGATCCTCACTTTACCGACCTATAAGATTTTAAGAATTATTAGTATCTAGTTATTTCATATATGAAGATGAATAGATATTTTATCCCTGCAAAAGTTTTCAGACCACGGTTAGTTCTCTAACTTCAGCAACACTGACCATAGGAAGCTGGTTCCAATAATCCTCGATCTTCACTACGATTTCCTTTTTAGATTTGCTTTCCAATAGAGTAAGAGCAAGGCCATCATCTGGTAATCTATAATAGATAAAGATTCCATCAGATCGTTGAAAACAGAATTAGATAAAAATATAAAATATGTGTACCATTTTTGAACTCATGCATGCTTAAACTCTTTACTTTCTTGTCCATATGGGTTTATGATGAATAAACTGCCGTCAAAAGTGTTTGAAACACTTTTTTATTTCTGAGACATATTGAAAATATATGTAAGAGGCAGAAAATAGAAAAAAATAGTGTAGCTTCTCAAATAACATTGTATTAGCAAGTGTATCTCTAAACTCTTTGATTTTTCCAAATTTAATAAGACAAATTACTTTTTCCATCGCAAGATTAGAAGTAGCTTGAATGATTTGATCAGAAAAAGATCCCCATAAGATACAACTTAGACGCATGTCATTGAATAATAATTTCACATAATGCAATAATGCAAATAAATCACTTAAAAACTAAAAATATATATGTTTAAAGCAAAGCATAAGGTATTACTTACTGCTCATCCCAAAGTTTGAAGTCAATCTTCTTTGCCTCTTTATTATTGACATGCATTGTAGACAGTTGCCCCACATTCACTATTTGGCCGAGAACATCTTGCATAATTTAACATATTTAGTTAAAAACCATGAGTCTGACTGAGATAATATAGGTTGAAGATAAAAGATTTTACGTTATTACATACCACACAAAATGCTCTGATTCTGTATTCTTTCATGAATTTGACTGAAATAGACCAAGTCCAAGAAATCAGAGTCTGATAAACTTACAGGATTAGAGACAATTGTCTCTTTGACAAAACTAATCCGGTAACAATGTTTGGTAGTCTTGTATTGACCGATTGAATGGCTAACATTGAATTCTTTAATGAATTTCCAGTTTCCTACAGATAAATGCTTCTCGTATCTCTTCAGGTGTTGTTTTTTAATAGAACAATGAATTTTCGTACCCTGTAAAAATAGGAGAAATGTTTTAGATAGACTAGTAATTGTATTAACTAATTTTTCTAGTAAAAATTCATACTTATCATCACATATTTGTTTGATATATATGAATTATTGGAACTAAACATAATAAGGCAAGCTGCGAAAAAAAAAAACATAATATGGCATAGTCCTACTGTACTCCTACTGAACTTCTGGTAGCTATTATTATGAATATAAACCAAATTACAAATAAGACAATTCTATTATTCATGTCCTAGTCTAAAAAATAAAATAAAAACAATGCATCAGTGAAATTAAAAGCTGACAGTGGAAACAAACAACGAAAGTTTTCATGATATAAATTTATAATAGCTTGTATTGAATATTTTAATTTCTATAACCAATCTAACGAGTTCTTGAGTGAAAACCTAACCGAAAGAGAGTGTCTGCAACATCAAACCGTAACAGCTAAAGATCTCACCATGCCAAAACTCCAATCATCAATCATACCATTGCACTTTAATTACCCCAAACCTCACCTCCTTGGCGTCTTTCCAAAGCAATCTCGGCATACCAAATCTCCCTTGTTTCCTTCCTGACGGCATTACATAATCTGTTTTTTTTTTTTTCTAACGAAATACTTTGCCAAAAATATTACCCGACAATGGACAGGTATATATGTCAAAAAATAATTGCAACATTAACGGTGGAGGAAGCGACCGGATAAACGTTGGAGTATATACAAACGTTGATCGCCATGGTTGGAGAAAACGACACAGAGACAGTGTTCAGGGGATGCAACGAGTGATCGCAAACTCTTGCAAACGAGGGAGATAGTATAGACCAATATTAGATTAAGTGGGAATTACTAAAGTACCACCACTTGAATCCGATCAATCATTTCGATTACATAAGAACGAGGAAAGGCTAATTTGTGTAGTCTCCATCATTCTGTTGGTTAAATTCTTGCGTATCCAACATATTGAAATTTGAGTGAGTCTCCCTTGAATTTATAATCACTGAGTATTTGGACTAGAAAATGGTCGTAGTGTGGGAAAATGTGTGGTAAGAGTAGGATCAATACAAAGTATAATTAAAAGTTTAAAACCAAACTGTTTTAACTTGTTGGTTCTACTTGTAGTACGACAGACTCAACCCAACACTTCAAGACTTCAAGTAAACCTCAAGGCAGCGATTTAAGAGAGAACATAAACAAAGTTTAAAACAAGAAACGAATCATTTATATCAAATTAAAAAAAACCACATTGATTAGCTAACAAGAATAAAAGAGACCAGTTGTTTCACAAAAGAAATTTTCTATCATGAAATAATTAAAAGCTATATATATATATACAGCATATGTTATGTGACAAAAAAAAAGAGAGAGATTTTATCTCCACAGATAATTAGAACGTCAAGAATCAAGATAATATAGAGACATGTTTTAATTATAAGATTAGGGACTATGAAACATCGAGACCATGTCCTAGAATGGTTCATGCACTAAAGAAATGCATTCAAAACATTAAGGTTTCTTGCACTCAAATTCGGAAATTTTAATTTAAAATTATTCGCATGAGATTTAGGAAATGCATGGAAACAAAACAAAACAAAAAACAATCTAAGGATTATTTTGGTGAAAATCTAACCGAAAGAGAGCGTCAGCATCATCAAATCGTAACAGCTAGACATTTCAGCATGTAAAATTCCTCATCATCAAACACAACGTCACACCATTGCACTTTCCCCCAAATCTCACCTCCTTGGCGTCTTTCCAAAGCAATCTCCGCACACCAAATCTCCATTTTCTTCCGGACGTCATTATGTTTTTTATAGAAGAGAGCCAATTTGCCACCGTAACTCACCGTCTTCAAACTCCGTAAACCGGTGGTCTTAGGCAACAATTCTTCTTCCAAGCCTTTCACCACTCTCCAACGCCTCTGCTTGGGATCATACGCTTTTAATTTGTCTTTGTCAGAATGGTAATTACTCTTATAATAGTACAATACATGGTCAAAGACACACGCACCCTGCCAATCTTCAGAATTGAGCATCTCATCCAATTCCCATTTATTTTCCTTTGGTTCATAAACAAAGCTTTTCTCACGATTTTGCATGTAAATCTTATCCTCCATCACCACGCCACCATTCCATAAATAGCCTAGTTCCATGCCTGGCTTTGTCATCTCAGGCTCCCACTCTTGAGTTACTGTATCCAACACCATGACTCTATTCCAGAACCCTCTCCCACTCATCTTGTCATCACACCAACATCTTCCATGGGAGTAGGAAACCTGGAGATTGGTTGCACCGTGTGAGATGTACAGTCGATGATTAAACCGCTTGACTCAGTACCCGCATCGTAAAATCGATCCACTACATATATCTTGGAACCTAGTGCGGTGTATCTCGCATTGAAAGCCATACAAGGAAGCGACTGGATAGAGACCAAGCGATTCTTGCTGTTGGCATTACGGTGGAGTATGTACAAACGGTAATAGTTATGGTTGTAGAGAACTACATAGAGACAGTATTCGGTGCGGTTTAACAAGGATCGTCTCGTGTATAGCTCAGGCGAATGCAACGAGTGATTGGAAACTCTTGCAAATGAGGGAGATAGTCGGATAATAGCATCTCGGTACACGTGCTACGATCTCAACGATGATGTCTTCTGGAAGTGAAGTAATCAGAGAAGGAGGCTGCTCCCACGATTGCTCCGTCTTCTCTGCCTTACCTTTGGAAAACATCTTATAAATATAGAATTTAGGGCTCAGATCAAGAATCAACGTACGAACTAGAGATGGAAGCACAAATCCTTTAAATATTCCTAATCATCTAATAGGGTTTAAGGCTCTGGTTGAATATTGAATCAGGATTAGATTATTGTAAAGCTTCGCTTAGGTTTTGTTTGTGACCTCTCTCTTTTGGTTAGCGCTACTAGGTTTTCTAAACTTGAAAGTCCTCTCTATTTAGAAAAGGGAAATATGAATAAGATAATAATTAATGTGATAGACTAGTAATTATATTTATTGATAATTATGGATAATTTCATCATATACAGTAGCTAAAATACGATAAGCTTTTCCTTAAAAAACGAGTACAATTGTAAATAAGATAAGGTTATGTATCGCCTTGAGGCTTAATCCGATTAATTCTTGAGCTGAAACTTTGCTCTAATTCAACAAATCTAAGGAGTATACTCAAACGGTAATGTCAGCATCATCAAACGGAAATCTTGAGAATGTCAGCATCATCAAACGGTAACAACTAGACATTTCAGCATGTAAAATCCGACATCATCAAACACAACGTCACACCATTGCACTTTACCCCAAATCTCACCTCCTTGGCGTCTTTCCAAAGCAATCTCCGCACACCAAATCTCCATTGTTTCCTTCCTGAGGTCATTACGTTTTATAAAGAAGATAGCCAATTTCCCACCGTAACTCACCGGTTTCCATGAACCGGCAATCTCAGGATACAATGCTTCCAAACCTTTCACTGCTCCCCAACGCATCTGCTTTGGATCATAGGCTCTTAACTCCTCCTCTTCAAAACTGTACAATACATCGTCAAGGACACACGCACCCTTCCAATCTTCAGAATCCAGCATCTCGTCCAATTCCCATTTATTTTCCTTTGGTGCATAAGAAAAGCTTTTCTCACGATTTTGCATGTAAATCTTATCTTCCATCACACCACCATTCCACAAATAGCCAAGCTCCATGTCTGGCTTTGTCACCTCAGGCTCCCACTCTTGAGTTACTGTATCCAACACCACGACTCTATTCCTGAACCCTTTTCCACTCACCTTGTCATCACACCAACATCTTCCTATTACGTAAATTTTCCCATCGATGGTTTGAGCGAGCATTGGAGCCATGGGAGTAGGAAACCTGGAGATTGGTTGCACCGTGTGAGATGTACAGTCGATGATTAAATTGTTCGACGTCTTCATATCGTTAGGATTAACTTCACCCACGACATATATCTTGGAACCTACCGCGACGTATCTCGCATAACAAGGCATAGGAGGGAGCGACCGGATCATGACCAAGCGATTCTTGCTGTTGGCATTACGGTGGAGTATGTAAATACGATTATCGTCACCTTTAGAAAAGAGCACATAGAGATATTGTTCGGTGCAGCCTAGCAAGGATCGTCTCGTGTATAGCTCAGGGGAAGCAACGAGTGATCGAAGACTCTTGGAAACGAGGGAGATTGTCGGATAATACGATCTCGGCACACGTGCTACGATATCAACGATGATCTCTTCTGGAAGTGACGGAGATGACTCCTTCTGCTCTGCCCTAGCTTTGCGAGACATCTTATAGAATTTAGGGCTCAGATCAAGAATCAACGAGCTATGGAGGGAAGCACAAATCCTGGTTGAATCTTGAATCTTGAATCAGGATTAAGATTAGGTTGGGAAGCTTCGCTTAGGTTTTTGTTTGTGACCTAGCTGTTTCGGCTAGCGCTATAAAACCTAGTAATTAATAATGGGACAGACTTTGATTATGTAACTGATGATTATGGATATAGGCATATAACGAAAACCAAGTTACGAATAAGACAATTCTTTTCTTCACGTCCTAGTTTAAATAACAAAAATAAAAACAATGCATTAGTGAAAATAAAAGTTGAACAGTGGAAATAAACAACGAAAGTTGTCATGAGTTATATAATAGCTTATAGCCTTATACTAGTTTCAATTTAAATTAGCAATTAAAGCTTTTCGTTTTTGATTTTTGATTCGAGTTCGTTACCCACAAAACCTTCACTATGGAATCACAGGATCAAAATAAACCTCCTGCAATCTCAAAATCCCAATTCTTCCTAACCTTTCTATACAGTACAAATCCCACCAAGAACAATGTGTCAACGAGGCAAAGACGAGAAGAAAAGCTGGCCATTTTTTGTTGTTGTTGGTCATTCTTCTCAAAATCTGGATAGTGTCTGTATTGATGTGAAGAAAGATTGTGGGGGTTTGGTTTTAGGCCTTAGGAGTATTTGATCAATCTGAATGAGTCAAAGCAGCTATTTCTTTCTCTTGCTTCTTCTTCAAGTGTCTCTGTGCAGTTGCTGTCACAATCTTGACGAAGAAGTTGAGGAGCATGAGCCACACTATCCCGTTCCAGATCGATGCAAACGAAAAGTCCCATCTTTTCACCTACCCAACAAAAACAAAACCCCCAAATTCAATAGAAGTCTTGTAATAGCAAGACTTTCATGAACAACAAAAATGTTGTTTACCTTGATATGAGAAGGAACAGGAGGTGAAGCATCAATGTACTTTTCTTTCATGGCGTGAAGTTTTGCTATGAGTCCAGGCAACGCAGAAGCCAAACCAGGGACATGGCTAAGTATCCAGATCATCTCGTTCTCCATCCAATCGAGCAGTTGGTTATTACAAACGCAGATGATAAATATTGTCTTCATTACAACCAAAAAACAAAACACCATTTAGGTGTTAGATCAGGTCAAGAAGGATTAAATATCATAATCAAATCTATGAGACACGAGGTTCCACACACCTGTATGTGAGTTTTGATGATCGCCTTTCCGATTAAAGTCGCCAGAAAGAACTCCCAAAACGGGACTCCAAATTGTCCACACATTATTCCAGCAAGATCAAACAGAGGATTTGGGACCTGCACTCAAACAGAAAGCAAGTGTGTGAATGGTAAAATCCCAATGCAAAAAGTGTTGAATCATTCTGCTATAAGGTCCTGAATCACTAAATGTAGTTCCTGCAAAAGCCTAGACAAGATGGCAAACAAACGCTAATGCAGAAGGGAAAGTTTAAAGTTGGAGGATGTAAAATACTAACCGAAGCAAGAACCAAGACGGTAAAGAAATTCAAGTGCTGCGAATTGGTTAGTAGCCAACGCTTTATCCGGTAGAGGTAAGTCGCCATAAACCCGCCGTCTTCAGGTGGAGAAGCGTCTAGCTCCTCCATTCCATCCACTGTACTCCCAGAGATACTAGCTGGAACCATTCACAAAACCAAAAAAACACAGTAAACAAACCAAAACATATGCAAACAATGACATACCAAAGAGATATATAAAGAGAGAAGAAAGATATGAACCTGCCCTTGAGATGAAATATGGAGGAAGCTCCCCAAGAGCCGTCCCAATACCCCATAGAATCGCCTCTAGTTGGACTTGTGGCAATATGCTAGTGAGTGGCACACGAGATCCTGCAGCTGAGATCATCAAAGGAGGACCGAACTCCGAACACGACTTGTCGAGCCACGAGGGAACGCGTTTCAGCTGTATGGTATCATACGGTGCAGACTTTAGATCGACACGGCCGCATAGCGTTGCTTTCAGAGTGAACAGAGCAATGTGTGGACCCAAATAGAGAACGAAAGTGTGAAGACCAGAACCTATAGAAGAAAACAAGAATAATGGAAAATTGCCAAAAAGATTAGCCTTTTTTTGTGTGTGAGAAACGAGTTTTGTGTGACTAACCAAGACCAATAGAAGATGCGACGCCAAGTGCTATCCACCATAAGCTATATCGAACATACTCTAATAGTTCTTCAACATGCTGTAACAACAAATACACACAAAAAGCGTTGGAGCTAAACACAATCCGGGAAAGTTTAGATTTTGGTAATGGAAGAAGCGGAGAAAGAGTTTACCTTTCCATGAGGTCCATCAACAGTCACAAGCAAAACTCCGAATGAAACTAACAAAGTGGTTATAACCATGAACCAAACTCCATGAGCCAGTAGATACGATATCGATCGCTTGATGTACTGAAGAGTAGCCTCAACGAAAAGCTTTAGCGTGTTGAAAGGTTGTGTCGTTAGTGTTAGATTCTCTACTTCCTTCTCATGCTTCTCACGCAGAGCTACAAGTTTTCAACACATAGATTATATTAATCACCACCCCTGACAATGTGAGTTTCCTATTTCAGCTAAGGAATTATCTGAAAATCAACAAATCTCCTCCATGTTTCAAACAAAAATTTATCCAAATCGTTTCTAATCATGAACATCCAAAATCCTTTATTGATGCTAAATCCAGATCTCAAAACTTCGAAACCATAACCAAGCCTCTAATTCTAATACCAAGTTTTCTTCTTTCGTCAGAACGAATTGAGATAAAAATCTAATGAACAATTGGTTAAAGATCAGAAACGAAAACTTTAAGGAAAAGGGTAGAGAGATAAAAGGAGAAACTCGCCTGAGATCGCAACATCAGAAGAAGAACTCGCAACCGCGGCGGATCCCATCTCTGTGTGTATTTCTCTGTTTCCGTCACCAACTACTAAAACTATATATAATCTCAACAGAACAAAGAAAGGATTTTTAACATAGATTCGGATTATTTGAGGGATATTAGAACATGGGTTCGGTCGAATTCGAGATGGGTAGCAGGAAACAGATTGCTTGTAGGAAAACAAAAATAAACGATTTTTTTTTTGGATTTATAAAAAGGTATTTTTTTTGTTTTTCTTTCTAACGTGACGTGTGGGCTTTGGTTGAGATGATAAACCAACAAAACACAGATGACAGATCTGGACTTTTGTTGTTAGAACTTAAGTCAGATATGGAATAAAGAGAATTGAAAGCAAAAGCAAACGAAAGTTACAAAGTTTGTAAGACTCTAATTCGTCTAGAGTCACCGATTAGGTCACTGGGCTATATAAGCCCATTACGGTTTTCATCAACAAAAATTCAAATGTTTTGGTCCGACCGGTTGATATTCCAAAAGAAAACCCAATCCGATTTCCACTCAAAACCAATGTCTTATTTTAATATAACCCGAACCATTGTGCGAAGTAAAATAATTATTATCTATTAAAATTTTAATATAATTTTAAAATTATATAAATATAATATAATATAATTAAATTTATATATATTTTATACAACATTATACTATAATATTAACAATATAGAGTTTTTTGTTTTTTTATAAAATATAAGGTAATTTTATTGTTATTTACATTAATTTAAAGTTTAAATATCAATCACAGCTTATAATATAGTTGGATAGAAATACGAAGTCGCCATATAGATTCTTTATATTCCAAGATTGATAATATGATTCAGTATTTTCACTAATATCTAAGATTTGGATATACAATATTTGTATATATATTTAATTACTTTTGAGTTTTAAATAATAATTAAATATTATTAGTTAAATAGTTTGTTACTTATTTACTATATCAAATGAATTAAAGAAAGATACAATTTTATGTTTTTAATTTGAAGATAACAATAAATTAATGTAAACAACTCTCTTTGTAAAAGAAAAAAGAACAGTTTTTAACTCTAAAAATATTAAATCAAAAAATATCATTTAAAATATAATAATATTTTACTAATAAATCTACATATAAAAACATATATTAATCGGAAATCTGTCTGTTTATAAAAAACAGTATATATTAGTAATAATTTTGTTATATGTAAATGATTATAAAACAGTGATTTGTAAATCTATCTGAATAATTGTGCTTCAAAAATTTGAGCATCAAATAGAATTCGAGAACATTTAGAAATTAGAATTTTTGTAAATCCACCTAATAAACAATAACATGTATTATATGATAATAGAAAAAATACATGACAAAAATATAAATCATATTTAATAAGTGAAACTTAGAAATCATATCGTTTTCATTCAATTCGCATAATTTTAAAATACACCTCACAATATTAATGGCAGTAAATGATGCGGACATCAATCATCATCAACAATGGAGCACGGATCCAGAAGTCACGAAGTGGAGAACATGAAGCTGAGGAGATTTAAAGAGACATTCGAGTGGAGTTCAGCCCAAACGGAGGTTGATATCAAACATTCAAGCTCAACCAACACTTGGAGAGCATACTCAACTCATCCATGGTTCATCACGAAGAAGAATTACCCAAAAAGGAGTTCATATGAAGAAGATATTGAAGATACAAGTTGGAAGATCTTCAATGGACCCGATGGAGACATGCGAGTACTAATAAAATTATTCCGGCCAAACCAAGACGAACCAAGCAACGTTCCAGAATGTTTTGGAAACTGGATTCATCAGAGAACCGAGGAAAATTGGTTTCATGCCAAAATTAATTATGGTTTAAAAGTTATTCAACTTCTAAACCGGAAGATGCTCTGCTTGCCTTATATGAGAGCTGGCGAGTTTAATCACTTGCAAACCAAACCTTGGCGACCAGGAGAAGCATCAAACCATTCAAGAGAGATAATAGACCAATCAGGAGAATCAGCTAGCACCTTACCATGCACCATCACTCACAGGATCAGGCGGATCCCCTTGCTTACAAACTTTCTATATCAAGACATGTTCACACTTGGAGTAATGGAGCACCAACGGCTACTTCTTCAAAGCTACAACGTTTTGGAGTTATTATCTACACATCCACACCTCTTAAGCTACACCAGACTTTACCTGATCAGGCGGATCACATTCATACTCAACTTACCATTCTTGGAGCAGAATTCCATCAAACCACAAAAACTACTTTCTAGCCAAGACTTCAGCCTTTTGTATGATTATTGGAAAATGAAGATCGTCCCACAGAAGCTCACTTACACCCTCAAGCCATCCAGATACATAGTCAGCAAAGAATCCCTTGATTCTAGCCATTCCCCCCCCCCCCCCCCATCACTCATCAAATGGGTCAAAAATCCCTTTAATCATTCTTTTTGATCTTTCTTTGATTTTTGCTTAATTTTTCTCTTTAAAGTTATTGTTTAGGACGAACTGAGCACTATATAAACTCATAGTTGTTTCATTTGTAAGAACCAACTTTTATCTAAGAAAATATAAAACATTTGTTCTTTTTTTTTATCCAAAGAGTCTTCTTTGTTTAAACACTTTGTCTTTAGATTCAATTGAGTGATTTTTTGTTTCTACTGATTCTTGGAATAGATTTTTTTGTGTGATTCAGTCAGGCTAGTTCCAACGGTTGAGTGAGTCAGCCATCCCACTGACTGAGCGAGTCAGTCAACCCACCGATTGAGCGAGTCAATCACCATCATTTCCACCTCCATTCCGACTTCATCCCACATTCCGCACCATAAGCTTGGAATTCTCTTGATCATCTTGTGATCATAAGTTAGAGTGATTCCAATCTTATATCAGTAAACCACCAATATTAATCTAGTCAAAGTTTCTATACGCATCAAACTTAATTTCATTTTGCATGTGGATAATTGAATATATGATAAATTGTAAATTGCAAGTATAATATATACATAATAAAATAAAATATTAAATTTAAAATACAATAAATATGATTCGAGTTTTGATGTGTTTTTGCTATTATTGGTTATATAGAAAATAATATGACATATAAAATTTATCATAATTAGCTTCTATAAAAAATATTGATGTAAGTCAAAATTTAAGTTTGCCCATCTTATATATTTTTTTCACTCTATATAAAAAATAAACATCAATGAATTATTAGAAAAAAGTGTCACTACTATTTATACTCCAAATCTTTGAATATGTATATCTAAATTAACAAAAACAAATTTAATTAATAGATTAGTAATCAATAATATTATCTATATCTAAATTAAATTATAAAGTTCGTCATAAATTAAATTACTTATATTATTAACATAAATCAAACGCAATAAATTTTCTTTTAGCTAAATTAATGAATTAATATTGTTAGTAAGTTATCTAAAAATATATATAAATGAGTCAATATTTATAAACTATTAAGATTTTGATCTAATAAAAATATTTTTAATATAAAAAAGTTTGACAAAATTATTATATAATATCTTAACATTTTTTAAAAAAAATTAACCAAGTTATGTTGTTTGTATAGATTAAAACTTTATAATATTTCACTTTTTAACAAAATTAAAATATATATAATATTGTATTTTTCAATATATTTAACTATTTCTTATATTTTGAATTTCTGATTTAATTTTTTAAACTTTTTTATCAAATTTATATTATTTGGGTAATTTATATGGATCTATATAAACTATATTAAACAAAAAACATTAATATTAATGTCAATTAAATCAAGCTTCCTACTTTTACAATCTTTTTTTAGCATTTATGTTTTTTATAATAATTTATAAACCATATATTAATCTACATATCTTCATTTCTAATGTAACAATTTTAAAACATACTTTTATTTATTAATAATTTGAGTAATCTATTTTTATTTTAAAAAATTCTAATTATAACACATGTACAAATAAATCAATATATTTTTTACTATATGAATGATGTGATAATTTATTTATTGTATAAAAATAATTTTAAATAAAAATAAGAGAGAAAAATACGTTTTGATAAAATATGTAATTAAATAAATAATTAATATGATATATTTTAGGTAAAAAAAAAAGAGAATATCTTAAAAAAAATGTTGATTTATGTATAAGTAATTGATATAAAGTATTGTATAATCAAATTAATGTGAATGGTAAAATATGTAATTATTCTAGTAATAGAAGTCTTTTTCAAAAAAATTATGAGAAGTTTTGTGGTAATGACAAATCAGCAAAATAGCATCACTGTAATTGTTTACAAATTTAAGGTTATTCTCTAAAAATGCTTCTCAATTAATATATAGGGGATTGGTTAACTTGGAAAAAAAGTAACAACCACATTTCATTGTTCCATCTAGAATCTTTAGAAACCCCTCTTAAACAAACGACCATATTTATTTGATCAGAGTCGGCCTTGAACCTAAGCAGAACAAGCATGGACTTCAGCCCTATATTTATATATAAAATTTCAGCCGTTGTTGTTGAAACGTATTTTTAGTTTATTGGCAAATAACCCTTCTTTTTATTAAAAATTATGAGTTTGAACCTCACATAAACAAAATCTAATAAACCAATGCAGCCCATTTTTGATTTGGATTTGCCACCTACAAATTCTCAAGACTGGCTCTACATTTGATCCATACCAATTCTTCGTAAAAGTTCTCAAAAACATAAAATCAATCATATTATAAGAAAGAAAGTAAATTAACGTACTAGAAATAAACGAAGTCAAAATCAAATATCTAAACTATTAAAAGAGGATCATTACTAAAAAATGTCCAAAATGTACTGTGGTATTTACTTTCTATGCCATTGTGTTTGCTAGACTTTTTTATATTTTCATTAAGGGTAATTCCGACTTCTTATTGTACTACTCATTCATATTCTAATTCAACCTATTCTAATGCGATATATATCTAACTAAACATATATCATTCATATTACATTTTTTTATAAATCGATACTCTCTAACCGGTTTCGTAAACACAGGTTATATGTCAAAACATCTAATGCCTTCTTCACGAGCATCATATCCTTTCCCTGCATTCAAAAAAAGTTGAAAGATCAACTGCAAGTAAATATAATGTATAGTTTCATCAGACAACTATGAAAGATCAGGCACCATTCGTAAATTTCATATTTACGAATCTAAACCCCAATTCAACTTATATTGAAAATGTATTATTATCAACTATAATTGCAGTATACTAAAAGTCGAATGATATATCTTAAATTTATGATATGATAAT